AGGTTTCTCAGGAGATAGATAAGGTGGTCAGGAACTCCCATTTCTTTAAGGATTTGCCATAATTTGCTGTGGTCCATACAGTCAAAGGCTGAATATTCATAGAATATTCCACTATAAATTAGCCCTCCTTAAATGACTCTCCTAAAGCAGTTACACATACATATATTATGTGTTTCATTGTTTTATTAGATACACTCAGGGGAAAAGGGTTACTTAAAGAAATGGTGAGAATGTCTCACATTCCTCATTGAAACCCTGGAAATATCTGTACTTTGCTGAATAAAGGCAATAAACACTATCCATAATACTAATCCAGCGGCCAGACTCCTTACTGGAGTGAGAAAACAACAGCACATTTCTCCTATTCTGGCCATGCTGCACTGGCTGCCCATTCGTTTCCGCATTGACTTCAAAGTTTTAATGCTTACCTATAAGGCCCTCAATGGTTTGGGACCTCGATACTTGGCGGAACGCCTGCTCCCACCAAGATCTACCCGGATCACCGGCGCGAGCCAGGAAGTGAGGCTGAGGAACCTGACGCCGAGAGAGGCCCAGAAGGAAAATACACGAAACTGGGCCTTCTCGGCGGTGGCTCCTCGCCTCTGGAACAACCTTCCTCCGGAGATTCGCGCAGTCCCTATGCTGGGTATCTTTAAAACTCAATTAAAAACATGGTTGTACATTCAGGCCTTCCCTCCAGCCAATTCCTGACTTCTCTTCCTCTTTTTCCTCTTTTTTATTTTTCTTTTCTTTTGTTGTAATTGTTATTGAACGATCATGTATATTCTTGTGTTTTATTGTTTTATTTTGTATTGGAAACCACCTAGAGTGGTCTGGTAGTCCAGATAGGCGGGGTATAAATCAAATGAATAAATAAATAAATAAAGTAAGTAAGTAAGTAAGTAAGTAAGTAAGTAAGTAATCCATCACAGTTTTACAGCAGAACCACATTTTAGTCAGTATAAGTTCTCATTTCATCTCCCTTGTTTCCCTTCTTTTAGTCCTGCCAAAAGGAAATTCAACCAATTTCTTGTCACTAGTTCCATCTTGCAAAAGGTACATTCAGAGAAAAATCCTAACATGTGACATTCATTCAGGGAAATGTAGAGTATGGCAAGATTTTTAATTGGAAACTTCTGGAGGCATGTTTGACAGTTCTGTCTTACGGTTCTTTAATTGAAATATTCTCACTCAGCTTTGTTTGTGTTCAGGTTTCTGTGCTAAAACCAATAAAAAATATCTCTGGACTTTTGTTCCAAGGCAAGGGCGAAGGTTTTAATGAAACTTAAGTCTGAAGATTTACTTCTTAAATATTTTGGAAAATCTTAGGGATTTGGTAAGTATTTGAGATGAAGGCACATCAGCAGAGTTTGTTTTCACAGACTAAGCCAAATATGAAAAGTAAAAGCTCCAAGGAAAGATAATAGTTACAAAAAAACAAAGAAGGTCAAGTACCAGTGGCATAGAACAAACACAAAAGGTTAAACACACATTTAATTCTTTTATCAGGTAAAGTATGCATCTGTGTTCTATTTTTCCACAATAAACCCATTGATCTTTTATTAAAAGTGAATTAAGGCAGCCTTCATCTCAGTTTCCAGCCAGCTGTTTGAAGAAGCGCTGTAACATTACATAAACAAAATACCCCAAATTATCAGCAGCAATGCATTAAGGAAAAGGCAGCTTCATCATGAGAAAAAGAGAGCTAGTCCAAAGGTTTATTAAATTTAGCCTCTTCCTTGAAAGCGAACACCAAAAGAATCCCATCAGTGAAATACTACAGCAGACCCTTGCTCCCTGATTTCATTACATAAACAGAGATAGGCATTATTCACCCCCAAGAGAGTGCTCTGCAAGTTGAGTTCAACTACTCTGTTTTCACAAACTGTGTTTAGACTATACCACACAGAGCAAGACAGACTTGAACAAAAAACAA